TTTTGCCTGGGTTAGCGCTTTTAGAATACATTTTCTGTTACAGGTCCTATCATTTATGTAATTTTATCTAAAATACTGTGAGCAACTTGTTAAAACTATGTTTCATTCTTCTGAGTTTCCTGCAGTACAATATCTTTCAGAAATAAGTATACTGCTCAAAATGATCTTGAAATAAATTGAGACATCTAAAGGTCGATTTTACATTTTAACATCAATCATTTTTAGTTTTAAAATTTTTATCTCTAAACAGAGGGAGAAGAGATAGCTATGTTGCCTTTTGGGTTCCCCCCCCCTCTGGATTTTCAATATATATTAATTTGGACTCTTGGTATCACTATGGCTTGTATCTAGATGTCGTCCCAAAGCTTCATGCGCTTATGATTGGGGGTTTTCAGACTTGGATAGGCCTAGAGTGCATTATTTTGGGAATAAGGATGTGTGATGTTAATGGATTTAGCATAGTTCCGGGTGTGGATAATGGAAGTGCCACCCTGAATGTGGGTGGCACCAATCCATAAGCTGTTAGCCTGATGGAACATAATGGGAGTGAGAGAAGCAGATGGCTTAGGGTTAGGCTGCTTTTCCATGAACTCTTTCTCCTCTGGGATGCTCCTCTGCCAGCCTGTCCTGCTTTGGAGCTAGCTGACTGTGGACTGAAACTTCTACTGACTGTGAGTTGAAATAAATCTTTTCTCTTTTAACCTAAAGATGTTGAGTATTTTCTTCCAGTAATGAGAAAAGTAGCTAAGACAGTTTCTTTACCTGGCAAATTCGTTTCAGAAAAATATTTATGGAAGATTCAGCATCATTTCTAGAGCAATGCTCTCATTCATTGGATGTGGATTATTTCAGAAATGAGAAGGAAACTCAGTTTAAGACTCTCTTTTTAACCTTCATATTTTATATAATAGTTAACACCTTTCTTTCAGCTTGATTCTCTTTGTCTTTTCATGATCGTGAAGAAACCTTCCACTTCCAATTTCTACTAAAAAGGAAAACCTGCAATGTTTTTCAAGAAACAGTATAGACCAGTATTTATCTTTCTAAATAGATGTAAGCAACTTTACATACAGTCATTATCTGAAACACAAATTGAGCAATCAAAAGACTCTGTTTTGGGCCAGGGATTTAGTTCAGTGCTATAAGCACCTGCCTAGCAAGTGCAAGGTCGTAATTTTGATCCCTGGTACCAAAACATTAGACTCAGTTTTAATATATATCCTCTTATCATGTAAACTGTGACAATTAAGAATTATATATGTGGTTTTAAAGTATTATTACTTTGCCTAAGATTAATCTATATGAGCAATGTTCTACTTAAATTTATAAAATGTTTTATAAATTTTAAAACATTTTGCCCCAAATAAAAAACTACAGATTAAAGCAGGAACAATTCAAAATTTTTCCAATTGTTTATGTTCAAGAAAAAGGAAAAGAAGAAAGACTGGCAGACTGAGAACTAAATTAACCCTCTATCTCACTGATTTTCCACTGACAAAATAATTGCTTTCTTGCCTCCACATCAGCCAAATAATATACAACACACACGTGCACGTATAGCATTGCCCTAGGTTAAATTCCAAAGTATTAAATTTAATCGACCTAAATTATAGAGCTACCCAACGATCAGCTTTCATTTATAGAATACAAGAAATTTCCATGTTGGTTATAATTTACATTGGGCTAATATAAGTTGTTTAGAATTATAGTTGCTATGAGGGGTTTAAGACAGATTTGTAGAGGCGGTAAGGTAAATATCAATCACAAACATCCAAAACATGAACAAAAGGTAAAAGTTTCAGTATTATATTTCATGTCACATTTTTGTACTAAACACGTGCAAACCATACCATTTTTCTTATTTAAATGTTCAAATTTATTTTGCAAGACTTATTTTGCATGCTTTAATAGCGACTCCAATACAATACAGAAACATTTATTCCTACGAGATTATTTTCTCAGATTATACCAATCTATCATACTATTTGGGGACTGTTATTAAAAGCCAGTGTTCTTGGCTAAATCATAGCTTATGTAGCAAAAAGTGTTTGCAATTCAGCCTGAATGCATAAACACTGTTGCTTGCCATTTCCCAAAAAAAAGTGGATTTTAAAGTATTGATAGTCATTGAACATAGAACCATACAGAAAGATTGTAGATTTCAGGTGATTCAGCTTTTCTGAATATGAGGATAGCCTAACTTCAATTCTGAATTTCTTACAGCTCTTTCAAAAAGATTTCTTTCTTTCCAGTTAAAGGAAAGAAAATCACTTGATCTTCAAGCAGATATTGCAATCCATTTTGCTTTAGTTTAGGAAAAGAGTAAAAATAAGGATGGTCACAATAAAAAAGATGGCTTCACGTTGAAGCTCAAATTTACTTGCTTTTACTTGCTTCAAATGATGGTTTTGTGAGTAGTAAGTTGTGATCAGAAAATACAGGGCTATCTTTTTGCTACTTCTGTAATTGCTACTTCTGAATTGCTTCTGTATAGCAATTCAAACATCCTTGAAAACTCTAGCCTTGCAATTCCTGAGATTTTGACCTGACCGAAGTGAAGAATAAAATTGATCTAAGTGTCTAAGTAACAGTGCTTCTGCCTTTTTTTTTTTTTAAGTCTCATACAGCTTGCTGGAAAATACAGACTAAATCCCAAGAGAAATACAAGGCAACAAGAGAAAAACATCCAGCTTATGACAATATTCTTCTTGTGTCAGGTTCAATTTATGAGAGCTCCTTTGAGAAACTCTCTGTAATGTCAGAATCACTATGAAGTATGTCAGTTCTTGCTAAGGTCACATTTACCGACACTGACATAAATAGGACATGAGTGATCAAATTATTTATCAACTAAATGCAATTTTTAGAAGAATTCAGCTGTGTGCCTATGTGCTGTCAATAACCAATACTCTAGCAAAAAATAAGTGCTTAAGATTTGACTTGTAGAGTCTGGGTAATAGACCACAGTACTCACCACACTTACTACAACATCATTGAAATCAACTGCATAAAGCACAGAACACCAAACAAATGTGATGTTATTATTCAAAGATAATGAATACTTGGGGCTGGGGATTTAGCTCAGTGGCATAAGCACCTGCCTTGCAAGCACGCAGTCGTGAGTTCCCTCCCTGGTACTGATGAAAAAAAAAAAAAAAAAAGATAATAAACACTTATTTGTGACTATATGACTAACTGCCCTCCAAATTAGAAGCTTTAAAGATTTGTCATCTCACAGTCTGTGGAGGTCATTAATGCTACCAGGTGTGATGAACCTTGGGGTTTCCTGCACAAGGGCACTCATGAAGACACCATTGAGCAGTTGGCCCAGGCCTTGAACCTATCTGAAATGTCTCCTGGCTGCTGACTGGATCCAGGTTCTTATAGACTGTTGAACTGAGGCCTTTAGCTCCTCAGTCACTAAGGTCTGCCTCAGTATCTTGCCAAGTGGGCTTTGTTATGGGATTGAGGACATCACCCAAATTCCTCTGTTGGCGCCCTAATTTGCAATACCTCAAGATGTAACTGCATTTGGAAATCAGACTTTTAAAGCAATAATTAAGTTTTTAAAAAAAGACTTCTATGTGAATAGCAATCCAGCTTGACTGGTGTCCTTCTATGAAGAGAGAATTTTAACACAAAAAGGTGTACTCACAGTGGGACCACCATGTGAAGAGTGCACATCTGGGGACAAAGGAGCATCCTCTCAGAAGACACCGATCCTGCTTGCATCTTGATCTCTTACTCATGAGAAATACTTGTGTGTCAGCACCAGAGGCATTTTGTTATGGCATCATTACCCCACACACTGATACAGGACAGCTCACAAAATGAACCCTAGGTTCTCTCAGAGTGTAAGCCCACATTTGTAACCTACTTTCAAGAAGAAACATCTCATTACTTCTATTGTATCTGTTTTCTGGGAGAAAATTAATATTCATAATTCTACCTTACACTCAGAGGGGGAAAGAGATGGCATGAAAACCACAGGCAGGGATTCCTTGGGCTACCTCAGAAGCTGTTTGTCCCTACAAACTCACATAACACCTGTCATGAATTACAATTCAGATAATACAAGTTGCAACAACAAAAGAAAATAATACTATATGATAACTTGACTATACAGGATCTCAGATAAACACCTTTTAGGGGTAAATGGAATGATATTTAAACTTGAGAGGAAAATTTAAACATAGAACAGCTCTCACAAATTAATATCACCAGGTGATAAACACACACATAAAGAGTAGATATCTAGCAGTCATCATCTTTGCTCTGAGGGCAAAATCCAATTTTATTTTCTGTATCAACACCTCCATCTGCCATCTTTTCTTATGAGCAAGAGAACGAGTAGAGAGCAGGTTTCATTAAGTGAGTGTCTTCATTTGCCCTTGTACTTCTTCTGAAGATTCAGTTTTAGCTCCTCCCCTTACCAGTTTTTACACATGGCTGAGTAACACCTCTTCATGAGTAAGGTTTGCAGTCAATTATTATGTGACAATACCATCTAGTCCCCTAAATATATGTTCAAATTAAGGATTACACAGCGGGCGTTTGTGGAGCTGAACATTCCTATAAAACAAAACCCAAACCAGCTGGAATGTTATTTTGGATATGCTGTCCTGCCTCAAGACCATTATTAGCTGTTTATTTCCAAATTCTTTTAAGGGACCAAAAACAAAACAAAACAAAAAAGGTAGCTTTCTTACACGCAAACACATTAAATATATGCTACTAGTGGCAAAGAAAAGATGTTAAACGCGTCACACTTTCTTTTAAGAGAAAATTTTTTGCATATTTTAAGTAAAAAAAAAAAAGAGCACCAAAGGCATATGATGATTATTTCTTTCATAGCAATTTGAATGATATGAAGCAGATAATTTTGAAAAATTTTGGGCATCATAAATTTTCCTCTGTAACTTTATTTTTTGAATGAGTTGAACAAACTCACAAATTTAAGTCCTAAAATACTAAGCTATCTAAAATATACTTACCAAAAATGGCACTTACATTCCTGGTGTAGTGGTCATGGAACGGGACATAGTGGGAATTACGTTCTGCGATGCTGAAAATTTGAAGCTGGAAGATTCCAAGACCCAACACCAAAGCCCCTGAGGTGATCTCATGCTCCACCCCACCAGGTTTTATGCCAGCTCTACGGCGTGACAGTTGGAGGATGGAGTCTGAAGCCGGGTTGGCTGACTTTGAATTTGAATCCTTTTTTAGCTACAAGATGTACCCAAGGTGATCTGTAGTGAAGAAATAAAATGGTAATCATAGCTATGATATTCATGAGGGAAAGAAAGAATAACTTTGTCCAATCTGGAAGTTGGTAAACATGCAAAATATCTGAATCTATTATTCAGTTCACCATTCCAAAAGTCCATCTTTAATTATTACTTTATCCAATTCATGCTTCTACTTCGAGGTACAATTTTAGTATATCCTGCTCTAGATGGTTATCCAGAGATCCTTCAGTTCCTTCTTATTGGTTTTCCTGTCATTTGAGTTACTTTAGTTGTGAACATTTCATATTAATTATTATTATTATTATTATGTGTGTGTGTGTGCATGTGTGTGTGTGTGTGTGTGTGTGTGTGTGTGTGTGTGAATGTTTGATTCTCCACTTAACTTGAGCTCCTTACGAGTCCTGGTCATGACTTATTCCTTGGGTCCCAAGGTGTAAAAGCATTTATGAAATAATGAGTAACGACTCAGACATTGCTTTTGGTTTCTCCTGGATAAGTGTATGTTGGGGATCATGAATTATTTTACCTAGCTGCTTTGCATGGAATCTATGAAAATATCCTATTTTAAATACCCTTAATAATATATTTTGACCAAGATATTTTAAAATACATTATGCACAAAGCATTAATTACTTATCATTAATGATTTGACACATTGCCCATTTTGAATAGGTAGTATTTTTTACATACATGATGCTTCTTTTACAAAGGTCACGTACCTAAAAATGTGTGCAGAGGGTTGATTGTCAGGTCATCATTTGCATTTAGCATTTCAAATCACATATTGGAGTGACATGTCTTGTAGCCAAAAAAAAAAAAAAAAAAAGAACAAGTGAAGAATATAAAAAGATTTTGAAAACTGGTATTTAAAAATTAGTCAAAATAATTTGAGCCTTTGTATTTAACCACAACAAGCATTTATCTCTGAAATTACTGAAATTACAGATATCCACCTGATGTCCTATCATAGCACTATCTATTCATCAATCATAACTTTGTTCAAATAAATCATTAGTTTATGCTTCCATATCTCTCATTTAATTACCAACATGCCAAAGCTTTAGCTTCTAACTTGACCTTTAATGATATGCTTTCTCATTAACTTTTCATTTGTATATCATTATCAATTCTTCATTTCTTAAGTTAAACACTTAAAACTTTCAATGGCACAGTATAAATGTTTCAATTCCAAAGCCTATTAATAGGAGTACAGAAAAGAATGAAACCAAAGGAAGACCAATTTCACTCAAGTATTTAAGAAGTATTGATGATATAATGTCCTTAAATGTTTTCTAGAATTCAGCAGTATATCTGTCAGATCCTGGAAATTTTTTAGTCAGTAAGTATTTTTTTTAATTACTGTCTCTATTTCTTTGCTTGTCATCCAGTTTTTCAACATATTTATATCATCTTTTGTTAGTTTTGGTATTTTGTATCTAAGAATCCATTTCTCCAAATTTTCCGTGTTTATTAGAATATGAATTTTAGTAGTAGTTACTAAGTATCTTATTGATTGATTTAAATAAGTTACTAAGTATCTAATTGATGTCTGTTTTGATTTCACCATTATCCTTTCTGATTGCACTAATGTGTGTCTTTTCTCTATTTCTCTTGGTATATTTGGTCGATAGTTTATCTATTTTTATTTCTTTCAAACAATCAACTTGTTGCACTGTGTGACCATAGCTGTTTAGAGGCCGAAGAAGATTACTCAGAGATGAGATTTAATTCAATCACCGTGAACTCAGAGGGACTGCTTCTTGGGCATTAAGAGAGCCTCAGGGAAACAACCAACTGAGAACTCCATGGTTAATCACTTTTAACTGGAAGATATGAGAACAAAGACATGGAAGAAAAGCAATTGCAACACATTGTATAGGAGTTTTGGTCAGGAGAACAGGGCTGGTAAAGGATGGCCTGCCACATGCTGTGCATCAGCCTAGTTTAGGCAAATTTACTGGGCAGGAGGCTTCTCAGAGGAGAAGAATTGCAAGGACCAGAGCAAACATCTATTGAGAATCACCTATTGTTCATTCTGCTGATGGCTTCCCCATAGATCTGTTCTAATCTTTAACGGAGCAATCCAGTTGCCTGGGAACTGCAGCTCTCCAAGCCATCTTCCTTCAACATTTGTATCAGGCATGCTCTGGTCAGTTTCCCACACCAAGCCATCAACAGAGTGGTTCTTTGAATTGATTTTTAGTCTTAATTTTGTTTACTTCTACTGTAACCTTTATAATTTTCTTCTTAATTTTGGTTTGGGCTTGGATTGTTTTTCAAGTATCTTCAGGTTCCTCATTAGATTATTTATTATTTATAAATAGATAATGTTTTGCTAATGTGAGTACTGATTGCAGAGACCTTTTTCTCTAACTGTTTTCATTGTGTCCCATATGCTATGGTGTGTTGTAAAGGCATTTTCATTAACTTCCAGAATTGTTAATTTTCATCCTTTATTTCTTTTGTGACACATTGGATGTTCAGGATGTGTAATGACTTAATGAAGTTTCCAGGTACTTGTAAATCTCCTGTTATTTCTTCTGGCATTGATTTTTATTTTCACTGTGCAGAGATATGACAGTAAGTATTAGGGTGATTTTGATTTATATATATATATATATATATATATATATATATATATATATATAGTTTTTTTTCTTTTTTATTTTTTATCGGTACCGGGGATCAAACTCATGACCACACACCTGCAAGGCAGGCGCTTATGCTGCTGGGCTAAATTCCCAGCCCGATTCTTTATATTTCTTTAACCACGCTTTGTGATCTAGCATGTTATCTCTTTTGGAGAAAGTACCACGTACTGCAGAAATGAATGTAAGGGGAGGCATAGACAAGAGAAACAATAATAGGCAAAACAAACAAACACACAAACAAATAATAGGCAAAACTTGTTAAAAGTTAGTATTAAGGGTTTGGAGAAGATGTTTCTGGGGACCAGGATATGTGGGGAGGGAGGTATAACCTCGGATTGAGACTAGATACAAAGTTGTCACACTCTGCTGCTTAATTTGAGCACCTATGAGATGGAGAGTAAGCTAGGAAAGAAATGGCTACATATGTATGATAAAGAAGAGCAAAAAGAATAGAACAAAGTAACCAGAAGGTTAATACCAGAGATGAGGAGGGTGACTCAGCAAATGAAGATTATAAGAAAAGAAAAACTTGATAAGAAGTTGAAAAGTGGGACAAACAAGTAAAAATAAATAAGTGAATTGATTCAAATGCTAGAATTGGAGAAAGAGATTAGGAAAGGAGAAAAGAGAGAAACTACTAATTCAATGCAAAAAAGAAAAAAGAAAGCATATTAACAAGAAAGATCCAATCAATTCCCAGTTCAGACACTCTGAGAGCTTATACATGTAATTCTTATGTGTCCACTGTGTGGTATAGCATACCATATAAATTCCTTCTTGCCTTTGTGCCAGTCTGCTTGCATGCAGCCATGTGAATTTCACCTTTTTTAGTCTTTTCCCCTTCAGTCAGCAGGCAGAAAATGACCCTGACTTCAGTGTTGGCTTAGAAGCTCTTTTCTCTAAAGGATTTATAGTGGACTTCACAGACATGGGGGACCATTCTCAGACTTAGGTAGCAATGGGTTTTCTGATAGAGTCTCAGGTGGTCTCAAACCTGATGTGGGGCATCACACTTGGTACCAGATAGAGACTCCAACAGATGTTAAACCAGCCAGGAATGATGCGGTGCACCAGACAGAGACTCTGATGGGCCTGTGGAGGATACCAAGCACCAAGTAGAGACTTTGGGAGGTGTGGGACTGGCTTGAAGTGCTGAGCAGAGACTCAAATGAACCACAAACTGATGTAATGTGGCAAGTGGAAACTTTAGTCTGCTAAGAAGAGCTACAGAATATCTAGGATGACCAGGGACTCATGTGGCCCAGGGCACTAAAAGAGATTCAGATCACTTGGGAGTTATGCTGCATGCTAGACAGAGACTCTGGTAAGTCCTGGAGAGGCACAGTAAAACAGGCATGTGGTAGAGACTCAAGCAAATCCAGAGCCTGAGAGAGGCCTGCAATCAGGATTGGGTGCCAGAAAGACATTGTTGGTCATGGAATCGACTTGTGGTTCCAGGCATATATTGGTTGACTCCTAGACTGATACTGGGTGATAGATGGTGACTCAGGCAGGCAAAGGGGACTGGGTGGACTCAGTGATCATAGTTTACTTGTTTGTCCTCTTGCTGGATAGAGTTGGGAATGGTGAATGATGAGCTTTCTATGCTCTTCATGAGTGGTGAGGATGCTGTAATGGTGTAGTCTTCTCAGTGTTTGGAGAGATATGATGGGGAAAAGGGTACCATAAAATTAGCCCTGATAGACTAGTATCTGCAGTTTATTTGGGAATTTTACAAGATGGCTGCTTCCAGGATGAGCAAAGATGGGCTGGCCATGTTGTAATTGTTTCCATTTTTAAAACTACAGATGTTAGGAACTCATTTCCCTCAAAGACTTGGCAGGCATAGCAGACTTGGCAGGCATGGGACACCAGGCTCAGTCTTGGGCAAATAAGAGTCTTCTGATGGAGTCTCAGTTGATCTGAGAAATGCCATGGAGCATCACATGGAGACAGGTGGGTTCAGAGTAATTTTCTGTCTGATACTTGATGGAAGAAAGACAGAAAAGAGGGAAAATTCACATGCTTGAATGCAAGCAGACTGCCACAAAGGCCAAAGAATTCATGTGGCTATCTGTGCTATGCAACACAGTGGACACATAAGAATTGCATCTATTTCTTTCAAATTAAGTTTGTCCCCTGATTCCTGTATTTTTAGTTGATCTTCCCTACCTCTGACATGAATCTTCCTCTAATTAGGCATGTTAGATTTTTGTTTTTGAGTTTTATAAGTAAGAATTTGACTTGGGCCTTTTTTCTAAATATAAGACTGTTGAGAGTTTTGGCAAAAGAGTACTGAAATTTTAGTTATATACACAGTAATTGTATCAGGTGGTATTATGAATTGGTTATTATCTGCATTTTGAAATTAAGTATTGGTTTGAGGGAAGGTGTTTGGATGTCCAGTTGACAGGGAATGGAATGTGATAGTTAAGTTTAATTGTGTCAACTTTATTGGCTTAAAAATAATTAGGAAAAAACTTTTCTGGATACGTCTGCAGGGGTCATGTATTTGTGCCCTTGAGATCTCTCCCTATATCCTTGTTGGGTCACTGACCTAAGAAAGAAAGAGAATCATGTGATGATGCTTCCTTTATATGCTCAAACAGCAGCATGCTGATGCATAGCACCATCCCTCCAAACTAGAGAATGTAAGTACCATTTTCAGAATATTTCAAAAATAGATATGAAGATACTTAGAGTCAAAATATATTGATTATAGAAAAACATATCTAATATACTCCAGGAATGCATCCCCACTAGCTGCATGGGGGATCTGAGCGCTGCCCATCCCAATGATCCTGCACAATCTATCAGAAGGCCCAGCCAGCCTCACAGGTCACAGAGATACTGAACTCTGCCCAACTCAGAGACCCAGAGCCACCCTTCAGGAAGCGCTCAGTTTAGCTGATGGATCATGAGGAATTTGAACTCCACCCATCAGAGCATAAAGCTCCAGTGCCATAGTTCAGGATTACATGCCAGCTAACTGCATGAGTCTTGGAGGTTTTGAACTCTGCCCAACCGCGAGCAAGGCACTGGTGCCATACTCCAGAGGTGTATTTAGGCTAACCATATGGTCCAGAGGTTCTAAACTCATTCTAGCCAGGTACAAGGCTCCAGCAGGGTCACACTCTGGGGATGAATCCCTGCAAGCCACCTGTATTCCAGATGTCCTAAGCTCCACTCAGGCGAAGTCCTTGGCAACACACACTGGAGGTGCATTCTTGCTAGCCTGTGTCCTGGAGATTCTAATCTCGACCCAGCTAGGCACAGGACACCAAGACACCATGGAATGGAAAGACACATTCCAGGGGAGAGTCTCTGCTAGATGCACTGAGGATCTGAGCTCTGCGCAGCTCAGGGTCTCAGGGACCAAGGGGAGTCCATCAAGGGAACACTCAGGAAGCCTCACAGGTCACAAGTCTCATAGATCTGGAGCCTCAAGCTCCAGAACCACAGTTCAGGGGTGCACCCTAACTAGCCACAAGGATATCAGAGGTTGAAAATCTTTCCTGTGCAGTGTTGAAGATCTTTCTAGTGCAATCTATGAGGAGGGACCCTGTGTAGGTTGAAGATCTTTCCAATGCAATCTACGAGGCGGGACCCTGGTTATTCACAAGGGTCCCAGAGGAAAATGACAACATGAAAGGGCAAGATACAGACTTAGTCTTCCAGTCCACTGAGAACAAACCCAGAAAACACTGAAATGGAAGACACTAGAAATCACACAACTGAACTTTCTGAAATGATAGCAACAGAAGCAAAGAAACAACTCCATGAAGCTACAGAGGAAATCAGATTAGAAATAAACTCCCAGGTAAAAAAAGAAATGACAAATACAATGAAAGAAATGTTGGGTGTATCTAAAGAAGCTCTAGATATAAAAAAATGAGGAACATAAGAAAATGATAGAAATCTTGAATGAACAATATAAGACATAACTACAATGCATAAAACAGAGTCAAAGGAATATTCAGGTAGTTAAATATCCCATTGAAAGCTGGCAAAACAGCTTGAATGAAGCTGAAACTCTAAGACCTTGAAGACAGGATGGACACTTATGTTCACAAAAGAAAATATCTCTTAAAAATATCAAGGAACCAGGAAACATCAATTCAACAGATGCAAGATGATACAAAGAGAAACTAATAAGACTGATATGTGCCCAAAAAGGTAGGGATCAACACAAATGACATAGGAAGACTACTTACAAAAAATAGTAGCAGAAAATTTTCCAAACATGGGAAAAGAATCTGACACACTGATAAGTAAGGCATATAGAATCCCAACTAGCCATAACAAAAATAAATCTTCAAACAGACATATAGTAATTAGGATCACAGAAATTTAGCAAGAAAACAGAATATTAAAAGCTCTCAGAAAAAAGAAACTGATCATCTGTGAAGGAAAACCTATCAGTATCACAGCAGACTTATTAACACAAATCTTTAAGTCAAGAAGAACTTGGAGTGAAATATTTCAAGTACTGAAAGAAAACAACTTTCAACTCAGATTGATGTACTTTTCAAAACTATCTTTGAAAATTGATGTAAGATATTTCCACAACAAAGAGCAACTGAAAAAATTCATGACTACCCAATCAACACAGCAAAGAGTACTGAAAGATACTCCAGAAAGAGATAAAGATAGCAACGATTCCAAGAACAAAAGCAGAAGAAAACTACTAAGCAGGACAAACAGAAAAAGTAGAAAACTAACAACAAAAAGATAACGTGACAGGAATAAGTCAATGCTATCTGTTATATCTATCAATGTAAATGGTCTCAACTCACCAATAAAAGAAATAGACTGGCAGAGTAGATTAACAAAGAAAATTTAACAATCTTCAGTATACAAGAAACACATTTAACTTAAAAGGAAATCCATAAACTAAAACAACACGCCATCCAACAGGAACCCAGAGAAAAGCAAGGGTAGCTATTCTGTTTGCAAATAATGTGACCTTTGAGTCAAGAATGATCAGAAGAGATTAAGAAGGTCACTATAGGGCTGGAGATTTAGCTCAGTGCCTTAAGCACTTACCTGGTAAGCACAACGTTGTGAGTTTGATCCCCAGTGCCAAAAAAAAAAATCACTACTTGAAGAGGAACACTACTTGAAGAGATTACATTCATAAATATAGATACCAAATATGGAAGCACCCAACTATGTAAGACAAATTTTAATTGACATCAAAAAGCAAATAAGCAATACTACAGTTGTAACAGGGGAACTTAACACCTCATTGTCTCAAAGAAGCAGATCAACCAAACAAAAATATCAGCCAACAAATAACAGATCTGAATCAAATTTGTAACCATATGAACCCAGTAGATGTATATCAATTGTTCAACCCAATGGCATCACAGTACACATTTTCTCAGGTGCACATGGTCACTCTCTAAAATAGATTATGTGCTAGCCCACAGAACATGCTTAAGTAAATGCAAAGGAATTGAAATAATCCCATATATTGTGGACTACAGTACAGTGAAACTGGAAATGAATGACAAGACTCCACAGGAATCCCATAAACACATGGAAATTAAATAACAGTCTCCTAAACACCAATAGGTCACAGTAGAAATTAAAGAAGAAACTAAAAAATATCTACAATCAAACAACAGTGCAAATACAAGTTACTGGAACCTGTGGGACACAATGAAAGCAGCCCTCAGAAGGGAATTTTTAGCACTAAACTCCCATGTCAGGAAAATAGAACGAACATAAATAAACAACCTAATGCTGCACCTCAAACTTCTAGAAAAACAAGAGCAAGTCAAGCCCAAAGCCCAAAGAAAGGAGAAAATGATAAAGATCAGAGCAAAAATAAATGCAATTGAAACTAAAACTAAGAAAACAATGCAAAGAATTAATGAATCAAAAAGTTGGTTCTTGGGTTCTGGTAAAGATGGTGGATAGATAAGAGCACATTACAGAGGCTCCCTGAAATTTAGATGCCAAAACAACATGGTATGGGGAGTCCAGACAGAAGGAGATGGATCCTCTCGACCCAGGAAGAAACTAAGGTGAGAAGAACCAATCAAACATGCAGTCCCATTCTACTATTGGAAAAGTTCAATGCTCCCACTGCAGTGCCCAAACTCATGCAGCCATGACTTACCAAGCTGCCTGAATTCCCACCATTTCGACTCACTGGAATCACAGTCACACCAAGGTCGGGTGTGGGTGGGCCCAAAGGAGAGCCAAGTTGGCAGGGGACCAGCACTGACCTTTGGTGAATGCCAGGAATAAAATCCTTTCATGGAAAAGGATGTTGCTCCAATGGGATGACATCTTGGAACCAGGCAGGACTGGAAAGAACAAGAAACAGCAGTGGCTTCAGTCGGTTGTTCTCTTCCTAGACAGGATTGGTGGGGTGTGCTTAGCCTGGGTCATGCCCCTGGCTGAGACCCAAAATATTGTCTCAAACCACTTCTCTATGCACAGCACACACTAACACAGTGAAGGCCTCAGCAGGTTGACTACCCAGAGAGAAGGGGGCAGCATACACCACCCCTGTTTGCACCACAATAGCACACTGGTGGAGGCAGGATCACCTAGCCAGTATGCTTCAGAAGAACCATACAAACAAAGAAAGAGACTGGGGCCTCTTTTATAGACTGTATGGAGGAAGAAACAAGAAAAAGTCCCCAGGCCTCAACCCTAAAAACATTGATCCAGGAAATGTAAATACAAAGGAGATTGAGGACAGCAAACATGCAATATCAGACGTGGTATCAGTGGACATAAAGAGATATCTTAGGGACCTCAGAGACAAGTTCAAAAGTGAAATATTTAACCAAGTAAAGCAACATATAAATAGATTAATAAAAGAAATGCTAAGCACCTCTCAAGAAGGCACAGATGGAAGAATGGAGGAACAAAAAAAGAGAGAATTATTTGATAAAGAATGTAAAGAAAATATAGAATACATGAAGCAGGTTCAAAGAGATTACCAGAAATTAAAAACTCCATTGAAAGCTAGCAAAACTGCTTGAAAGAAACTAAGGATAGATTATCTGAAATGGAGGACAGGTTTGCAATGTGGGATTATGAAAGGAAAAATTTCTTATAAGTAACAAGGAAATAATCAGTAACAATACAAAGGCTTGAAGGCAACAAGAGGATCTATAACGTAAGAATAAAGAATGTGAATGAAGAAGCAGGGGTACAAACAAAGAAACTACAAAGACTATTCACAGAAATAATTGAGGAAAACATCCTAAGCATAGGAAAAGGAAGTGATATTCAGATGTATGAGGCATACAGAACTCCAGCCACCTACAACCAAAACAGAGCTACACTCAGGCATATAATAATCAAGATCCCAGAAATTCAGTATAAGAACAGAATATTAAAAGCCATCAGAGAAAAGAAACAGATTACTTTTAAAGAAAAACTCATCAAAATCACAGCAGACTTCTCAACACGGACCATCAAATCAAGAAGAGCTTGGAGCGAAGTATTCCAAGAGCGAAGTATTCCAAAGAAAATAACCTCCAGCCCAGATTGAAGTACCCTGAAAAACAGTCTCTAGAAATTAATGGAGAATCAAGAAACTTCCAAGACAAAGAGGAATTGGGAAATTTGCGACCACAAATCCAATTCTACAGAGGATACTCAAGAAGATTCTAGAGAGAGAGAAAAGTACTGAGATTCCAGGAACAGTGGCAGAGAGGCTTCAATGAATGGAGCAGAAAGCAGAAGACAGACAGAAAAAGAGCACAACAGAAATGAGGCAGAGAAGGTTGGCTATAATCTCAAATATAGATGGCCTTGATACACTAAATTAAAAAAAAGAGAAACACAGACAGAATAGATCAAGAGGTAGGGTCCACCGAGATGCTCTCTGTAGGAAATATAATTAACCTGACAAAGGATATATGGACTGAAAAGCAAATATGAGAAAACAATGCTCTATGTGACAGAGAACCAGAGAATAATAGGGACAACTAGACCAATATTTGTGGGTAAGTTGGAAAGACAGGCTTTAACAGTTAGAGGAATACAACTAGAGATCAAGTCCAGGAGGAAAAAGGTTCAGAAACACTTAGGTAAATAGCAGGTTGCCCCCCACAACTTAAAACCAAGGGTATTAGTGAGATCCAAAAATGCACAGTGCACCCTTGGGGAGTGAAAGGGGAGGAACAGTCTTAAAAAAGAGGGCAGAAGTTATTGTTAATAGTGTATCAGGAATTAAAACCCATACTACTTATCACCACTCTGCTTAGATAGAATTTATTCTGTCCCAGTTTGTCTACATGCCCTAGATCTGTGGGCACAGACAGCTATCCCAAAAATATCAGGATATACCACAGTAATCATCCTTAATTTTCTATTAAGTTAATCTGGAGCTCTGTATAACTTACACTGTCTTATCATAACTGATCTTAGTTAAATGTGGTTTGTTTGATTGCTGTTTGGTATCGACAGATTTTATTCAAAACTGTGATGTTTGATAGTACCAAGTCTCAAAGTTTAGGCAAATACACTGAAGATGACAAGATTCACTACGATACCCATCCTGGTTTGATTACTACCTGTTTTTGTAGTTTTACAATTTCACAACACAAAGTTGTGTTTTTGTTACTACTGTTATGTACTGATATATTCAATTATATTCTGTCTGATGGTATAGCCAATTCTATTGGAGATAACAAGAGACGACACAGTAACCATGGTAGAACTCCTTGTACAGTGGTTTTATATGTCTTTTTTTGTTTTATGTGTTTATAGGAATATGTTTTGTTTTGTCCTGCTTTGTTTTGTTTCTGCCTCTAATAAAGAAAGGATAGAAATACATGTTAAAACTCATGCATGCATAGAACCTATAAACAGTTTATGAGAACTGATCTTATGACACATGATGAAATGAACAAATACTTTGAAAAAAAAAAGACACTAAAGCACCCAGTGCTGATCCCTGAGTGTCATGATGTGAAATCCAACAATACTATTATTCTTTGTTCAGAGTGATTTTAGCCTGCTTTGGTTTATTTAATCTCAACATAAATGGAGATATGGATAATTGCATGTATATTTAAGTGTATAAGATTGATAACTGCATTACTAAGTTTTGTTGTATAGTTGAACAGAACTCTCTGCAGTCTTGCTGTTTAAATCCTCAGTTTATATGTTCCACTTTTGTATGTTGCACAACTATTTGTAAGAGGACAATATGTAAACATCAACTAATGATTTCTTACTATTTTTTTCCTTGCAAGTATGTATTACTTATACTCATTTTCTGTTTTGTTTAGTCTTTCTTTAAATAAAATTTTTCTATAAAGCTGGTTCTTTGAAAGAATAAATAAATTGCTAAACTACTAGCCAACCTTATCAAAAAGAGGAAAGAAAAAAACTCAAATTCACACAATAAGAAATTATAAGGGTTAAATCACTCCAGACACTGTGGAAATACAAATCATCAATACCTACTTCAAAAACCTTTACTCTCATAGATTTGACAACACAAAACAAATGGACAGATTTCAAGGAATATATGAATTACCAAATCTGGATCAAGAATATGCAAAACTGCTGAATAATCCAATTACTATTAGTGAAATTGAAAATGTAGTTAGAATCATACCAACAAAGAAAACTCCAGCTCTTGATGGATTTCCTGCTGAATTCTACAAGAAATTTAAGGAAGACTTAATGCCAACACTCCTCAAACTCTTCAATGAAATTGAAAAGGAAACAAGTCTCCATAACTCATTCCTGGAAGCAAGTATTGCCCTAATACCAAAACTAGAGAAAGAGCCAACCAAAAAGAGAATTATAGGCCCATCTCCCTAATGAATATTGATGCAAAAATCCTCAATAAAGTGCTGGCAAATAGAATGCAACAAATCATCAAGAAGATTATACACCATAATCAAGTGGTATTCATCCCAGGAATGTGGGGATGGTTCAACATTTGCAAATCAATAAATGTATTAGCCATATGAACAAAGCCAAAGACAAAAGTCACATGATCACATCAATAGCTGTGGAAAAAGCTATCAACAAAAGCCAAGACTCATTTATGATAAAAACACTACAGAAAATTTAAATAGCTGATCTTTACTTCAATCTGTTAAAAGCCATATATGATAAACTAACAGCCAGCATGCTGTTAAATGGACAAAAACTCAAAGCTTTCAACCTAAAATCAGAAACAAGACAAGAATGTCCATTATCACCATTCCTATTCAATATAGTTCTGGAAGCATTAGCCGTAACAATTAGACAAATGAGAGAAATAAAAGGAAGAAGGATAGGAAAGGAAGAAGTTAAATTATCATTATGTGCAGATGAGATGACATTCTATATAAAATGTGCCCAAAACTCAGTTCAAAGGCTTCTCGATGTAATAACCAAATTTGGCAATGTAGCTATATACGAAGTCAGCACTCAAAAATCAATAGCAATAGTAACAAACTTAGAGTCAAATAAGGCAAAGCACATCCTTCACAGTAGCATGCAAAACAATGAAATTCTTAAGAATAAATCTAACAAAGGAAGTAAAAGTTCTATACAGTGAAAATTACATTACTCTGAAAAAGGAATTTGAAACAGATTTCATAAAATGAAAAGACGTTCCCTGTTTAGGGATAGAAAGAGCAAATATTGTGAAAATATTCATTCTTCCAAACTTGTTATACAGATTTAATGCAATTCCTATCCAAATACCATGTGCATGTCTCACAGATCTAGGAAATTGTTTCTAAAAATCATCTGTAACCAAAAGAGATCTAGAATAGCAAAGGCAATTCTGGGCAACAAAGGCAATGCAGGAGGCATCACAATCCAAGACTTGAAATTGTACTACAGAGCTACTTTGATGTAATCAGGTTGTTACTGAAATAAAACCAGACTTGAAGACCAATGGAAACAATTAGAAGATAAAGACACAACTACAAACACATTGCCCCACATCTTCGACAAAGAGGCCAAACATGTTCACTGGAAGAAAGATAGCCTCTTTAAAAGTGGTGCTGGAAAAACTGGCTCTTCATATGCTGAAAACTAAAAATAGACCCATATTTATCACCATACATTAAACTAAAGTTAAGATAGACCAAAGGTCTGAATATTAAAACAAAGACTAAATCTTCTGGAAGACACAGTCAATAGAAATCTTGACAACTAGGAGTAAGCAGAGAGTTCATGAACAAAAATCAAACTGCATGAGAAATACTTCCCAGAATCAACAAATGGAATCTCATTTCATTAAAAAGTTTATGCATGTCAAAAGAAATCTCCAATAGAGTGAAAAGAAAACTCACTAATTGGGAAAATATCTCAGCAACTGTCCCTCAGACAA